CTCCACCCCTCCACGTTTTTTTAGGACATTGAAGGAGTTGACTTTTCCCGTTTGGCGGCGGCGGGCGAGCAGAATTAAAAGGAAAGGACAGGCCCCCGGAGGTCGCGCAGCGCGGCGGGGGGAGTTGCGCGATCATCCTGCTGCGAGCGCGCTGCCCCTTTAAGAGACTGGTCAAGGAGTCCTCGCTCAGAGCGAGCCGAGAGGGAGGGAGGGAGAGGGAGGGAGGGGAGGGAGGGAGAGAGCGAGCGAGAGAGAGAGAAAATCAATCGGTTTAGAAGGTTTGGACTCACTTGACAGGTTCAGTTGGAGGCGACCATAGGTGGCTGCTGTGACAAAGGGAAATTGTGCTTTTCCAGCATGCTAACTGACCCTGATTTACCTCAGGAGTTTGAAAGGTGAGTCGAGTTGTTGGGGCGGGGGTGTGTGTATGTGTGGGGGGGTGTCTCTTCCCCTTTAATATTTTTTTTGTTCTGTTTCGTGGTTTGTTTGTTGTTGTGTTATTATTTTTTATTATATTTTTAAAAAATTTATCCGAGCACGCGTGTTGGCGCGCGTGTGCGCGGATGGGCAGCAGGCACACGGACACGCGGGGACGGGCGCGCAACTCCGGCGCTCGGCGGCAGGAGGCCGGGGAGATGCTCCCCCCGCGCCCGTCCGCGCCCCCCCCGCGGTACCTCGGCTGCTCCAGCGCCGTGTCAGTGACCGGGGGGGCGGCGCCGCCGAGCCCCCGGCCCCGCCGAGCCCTCGGTGCCCGGGAGGTGCGCCCGCGGCGCGCAGCTTTGTTCCGCGGCCGCGGAGGCTGCCGTAGCCTCCCCTGCCCCGACCGGCCCGCCGAGCCACCTTCCCGGGCAGCGCCTCCCCGCTCGTGCCCGGGGACTCCCCGTGAGCGGYCAGAGGATGCCCGGTGGCGGCCAACTTCCAACCTCAGGCTCCCGTCAAACTTGGGAAGGCGCTCCGCCGAACACATGACCTTTTGTTGATCTAGCAGGAGCAATTATTTTTAGGCAAGTTAACATCCCAGCTCTCCGTCAGGAGAACATCTTTCTGCCTGAGGAAAGAGGGGGGGGGAAAAAAGCCAGAAAAAGAAAGGAAAAAAGTGAAACTCTTGCCTCCAAGTTTTGGCCGTCGCCTCTCTCGCGGAGTGTCAGGAGCGGGGTCTGGGTATGACGAGCGGGCTTCGGGTGTGACGTAGGTGTGCCCGTCTCCCCCTGCCCGAAGCGGGAGCCTTCCCTGCCTGGAATTAAGTTTTTGCTGTCACTGGCGATGGCTTGTGACCTCCGAGAGTTTAGTCCTTATTTCATATGATCTGGCGCTCTTAAGAGGTTTGGAAGCGTTTTCTCAGGCGCTTGTACACACGTCCATTGATGGTCCCGCATCTCTCCCCTCCGGCTTCTTTTTTAAAGGTTATTAATAGCCCCTTGTGCGGCTGCAGTAAACAATCCAAACTTTCATTTCTAAGCAGTAAATGAAAGAATGCCAGGACGCGCGTTACTGAGGTTTTTCTCATCTTCGTGAAATTTACCTCCTGTATAAACATTTGGTTGTATCTGACTATGCAATACAAGCTAGGTGCTAGACCAGCTGGTTAAAAATATGCTAAGTCAAGCTGTTCATCGTTCAAACCTACTGAATTTGATAGTAAAGGCATAGAAAAGAAGGCAAGATAAAAACATTTTAAGTGGGCTGAGGAACACGCATGCAAAGGAAGGACAGGAAAGAACACTTGAATTAAAAGATCGGAGAAAATAAAAATTTGGAAATGCAGAAAAGAGCTATTTTAACACTTTCAATACTTGTTCTGCAACTGGAACTCTTCCTTACTAGAAAGTCAGATTGGCTTAGTTGCACTACTCCAAGATGGTCTTTAATGCAATTAATTTTCCAGACTTAACTTGGAATACTTGGCATTTTCCTTAGGTTTGTTATCATTACCATAATAGAGCAAAATTGGTTTTGTTCACGTGCACTGTATTAACTTAGTTCAACTACCTGAGAAAACTGTTACTGTTTTTGATGKCAAATTAGATCTGGCATCATGATCATGTCTTGTTCATGCAATCGATAGATTCAAGTATTTCATGTGCTTCACTAAGATCATACATAGAAATTTGTAAGCAAGCAATTTCGATTATTTTTTGAACTTTGTGATGAACACAATGCTTGTAAACTCTCTGAAGCAGAATGAAGACCTTTCATTTTCCAGCTGGGGGACTTTTTTTGTTTTTAGCTGGAGTCTCTCTGCATTATAAATATAGATATTTATATAAATTTTATATATAAACAAATCATTTGGAGCAAACATCATCCTTAGAAATAGAATGAGCTTCTCTACTTTCTTATCTTTTTTTTTTTTTTTTTTTTTTTTTT